TCATGAGACAAAGTGTATGTGAACTGCTGTATGGAAAGTGAATTTGTTCTGTAAACTTTCATCCAAATAACAATTTAAAAAAAAAAAAAGAAGAAGAAGAAGAAGCAATCAGACTCCAGATCCTTCCTACCAACCCCATGCAGTGAGATGACTAGACTTTTCTGCCTTTGGTAAAAATCTGGAGGTTGATTCTTCGGTGTAACTGCTTCACTGTGGGAGGCCAAGCAGAGGTGAGGTGGGTTAAGTGAATTTGCACAAGAAATGCCCCACTATCTCCCTCCACTCAGGTTTCATAATGCTGGCAGTTATGCATTCACCCACCAAGCAGGAAACTGGACGAGTCTTCTTTGAAAAATATGGCCAGCCCAAGAGGCAAAACAAAGACACTGAACATCAAAGTATCCTCGATTAAAAAGCCCAGTCAGATGATGTTGTATTGACGTCTGCAATACCCAGTCATGCATTCAAAATAGCACTTTATCTCCACATTTTAAAATATGGACGTTGTTGCATGTCATCCAGTTGATTCTGACTCATAGCGACCTTATAGGGAAGAGTAGAAGTGTCTCCTGTAGGGTTTCCTTAGCTGTAATCTTTACAGGAGCAGATCACCAGGGCTTTGGTCCTGTGGAGGAGCTGTTTGTTTCAAACTGCCACTCTTCTCAGTTAGCAACTCAGCGCTTAACCATTGTGCCACCAGAGCTCCTTAAAATATGGATCAACACCTCAAAATTACCAGGCATCTGAGAAAAGTTTTCAATATAAAAAGCAGAGACTTAAAAAAACAAACAGAACAAAGCACCTTGAGAGAAACAGGCAATAGAAGGAGAAGAAAATCTCGGCAATAAAAATGTTTAAAAATTAGAGTTTTCAGAAAGAAAAGAAATTATGACTATTACGAAAAGGAATACATATGGGATTTTTTAAAAGCTCTCGAGAATTAAAAATATAATAGCAGAAATGAAAAGTAATCAATGGGCTGGAAGATGAAACTGAAAGTAGAATGAGAGAGTCCAGAAAGAACAGAGAAAACAAAGTGGAGGTAGTGCTAAGTGAAAAAACTGAAGAAAATTTCCAGTATAGAACATGAATGTCCAAAATGAAAAGGCCCATCAAGGTTCCAGCACAATGTATGAAAAGAGGCTCCCATCAAGGCACATTAGGCAATTCCAAGAAACTGAGACTGAAAACATTCTATGAACTTTCAACAGGAAGAAAACCACACAGGTCACATACAATGTTCTGCTGCTTTATAAGGATTTCACTGGCTAATTTTCTGGGGGGTAAGTAGATTGCCAAGTACTTTTTCTTAGACTGTCTTAGTCTGGAAGTTGTGCTGAAACTTGTCCACCATGCTAACCCTGCTGGTATTTGAAATACCGGTGGCATTGCTTCTAGTATCATACAGGACACAAACCACCACAGTATGACAAACTGACAGACAAGTGAATAAGGAAGACTGATGAAGAATCAATGACTTTGGATTATGCTGTTGGTGAAAAATATTGAATATAACAAATTCATTTACCCCTAACTACTTACAACTGTAAGAGTAATATTTGTTGAAGATTTTCCTTGATACTAAGAAAGAACGAACACATCTGTCTTGGAAGAAGTATAGCCAGAAACCTCCTTAGAAGGGAGGATGATGAGACTTTGTCTCTTGTACCTTTGGAACTTTGTTATCAGAAGGCACCAGTCCCTGGAGAAGGCCATCATGCTTGGTAAAGTAGCGGGTTAGTGAAAAAAAGGAAAACCCTTGAGAGATGGATTGGCACAGTGGTTGCACCAATGGGCTCCAGCATAGTAACGATTGTGAGGATTGTGCAGGACCAGGCAGTGTTTCAGTCTGTTGTACACAGTGTTGCTATGTGTTGGTACCAACTCGATGGCATGTAATGACAACAATAACAGGTCACATACAGAGGATCAGAAATCAGAATGGCTCTGGACCTCTTGAAAGCAATCTAGGAAACAAGAAGATATGGAGCAATTCCTTCAAAATCCAACCACCAAACAACTGTGAAGATAGAAAAAAAATTCCCTCTCAGACACACAGGAGCTCAAATATTTACCATTCCTTAGGAAGTAACTGGAAGGCATGCTCCTGAAACCAAAGTAGGAAATAAAGAGTTCAAGACATGGCTATAGGAAAGAGAAGAGTCAAGACTGAGAGCAGTGGAAGGAAATCCCCAGGACAATGGCAAAGGGAGATCCCAGGAGCGCAGTTGAATAAAAGGCATCCAACCCAGAGTGTAGGAGGTCAGAATGCACAGTGAGAAACCTCTTGTAGAAGAAACATAATCAAGAAACCTGGTGTTCTGGTTACCCAGTGCCACTCTGACAGGAATATACCACAAAGGGGATGGCCTTATCAAACAGGAGTTTATCTCTTATAGTTTGGAGGCTTTAAGTCCAAGTTAAAAGTGCCAGGCTCTAGGGGCTGGCTGAAAGTCCCTCGACCTTAGGCTTCAGCTCTGCCTCTTGCTCCTGGCCCACTGAAGCTAGAGGCATCTCTTCACTCAGGCAGCTACTGGCTGCTGAGGTTAACAAGACCAAGGTTGACATAAAATGGCACAGTCCTGATGTTACCAAACCACTCGTTAGGCCATTAATTTAAGTCCAATGAAAGTCCCATGGTCGGCAGAGCATGGCAGGCTGCTGAACATGACACAGCTACACACAGGGTTCAAGTGTGCCATAAGCTAGAGACCATTCCCCAAGGCTTCTCCTTATATACAGGAAGCAGACCACATCCCTAAGGCAGCTACACAGCTGCTCACAGTAGATTCTACCAGGGAGTTGATTACCAGTCTCATCATGAGGAATACTACATCCAGCTGCCCAGCCACTCAATCAGGCCCAGCCAAGTTGACACACAGACTTAACCACCACACCTGGTGAAAATATTTTTTTCAGGAAAGGAAGGTAAATCACAGTTTAATATGTGGCTAGATTCATAAAACCATGGTAATGTAAGCATGGAATGTTGATTTACCAAAATTGAAACATAATGACTAAGATGAAACATAAGAATTTGTTGATTTTTCAAATCAAAACGGCATATAGTTCAACTGAGCATATCAGGAGCATGAGGAACTGGAAGGATGTGTGTATACAGTAGGAACCAGAAAGAGGAGCAAACTAAGATGAAAAAACCATGGTGAACAGGGACAAAAGGGATGGAAGGATGTGTGTATATGGTAGGAACCAGAAAGAGGAGCAAACTAAGATGGAAAAACCATGATGAACAGGGACAAAAGGGAGGAGGGAAGGAAGGAGTGACTGCCTAGGAAGCATCAAATAACTGTTAACAGTGATGGAAAATTTGGCAATGGATATCCATACTGGTGATGAAAATTTCCAGAAGAGAACATGCATGTCCAAAATGAAAAGGGTCAATGAGGTTCTAGTACCACATATGAAAATAGGCTCACATTAAGGTAGACCATGACAATTTGAGAAACTGGGATTAACTTTCAGAGAGAGAAAAACCACATCCGTCACATACAGAGGTGAGAAAATAAGAATGGTTTGGACCTCTCAATAGCAAACCGGGAAACCAGAAGACATGATTAATGTAATTGGTGTCACTGAACTGCACACATAAAAAATGTCAAATTGGCAAATGTTGTGTTATACATATTTTTACCACAATAAAAAGAAAAAACACAAAATAATGGTAAAAGAAAAAAAAAAAAAGATTTCAGATGTCCTAAGGCATTTCTCAGAAGGAAGGTTGGGCAATCCTACTTCTGTAGTGATAACTGCCTCGGAAACCCAAGGAGGGGTCGCTATGAGTCGGGGCCAACTCGACGGCACATAACAACAACAACAACAAGGCATTTGACAGCTAACCAGAAGGCTGGCAGTTCAAACCCACCAGCCACTCCTTGGAAGGAAGATTGGGCAATCTACTTCTGTAGAGATAACCACCTCGGAAACCCAAGGAGGGGTCGCTCTGAGTCAGATCTGACTCAACAGCAGTGAGTTTAGTGAGTCACTTACCCTGAAAGTCAAAGATCCTAGCTCTTTGTGATTCTAGCACTCCCTGCCCATTTCAGTCCAAACTCACAAAAATGATATGACCTTGAATCCCTGTTATCATTTAGGAAAAGATGTCTCTCCCTTTCACTACCTATTTGCAATTATAAGTGTAGTATTTGTCGAAGATTTTCCTTGATACTAAGAAATTACAAGCAAATCTCGCATCTCAAGAGAATGCTGTATGACATACGATCTTTCTCACTTATTTTCTCACCACTCTTGGGAAGAAATGACAGGCCAATGTGTTCACAATCCACATGCAGAAGGATCAACTGGCACGAATGGCACTATTTTGTCAGTATCGTTCCCAAACAAGCCAACTGCCGTGAGTCTGAATAAGACCTACAGTAAACATCAGATGATTAATTCATTCCCAAGTTTTTAAATGGAATGAGTCAGATCTCCAGACCTTTAGGATAATTTTATTTTCATTAAACAGTATTTATCAGCCACCATAAAACATAAGGCACTTTCTAAAATACCACCAAGGCAAAATCCCTGCCCGGAAGGTACACACATCTTCTCATTTACTAAATGTTACTCAGTAACACTGCAAGCCAATTATATATATACAAAAAAAAGAAATACTGCTGACATTTCAACATGAAAGAAATAGGAAGTTGCAATAAAGAAGAGTGATGAGGAAGAGGAGGGGAAAAGCTAATTAGGGTGGCCAATCGAGATTTAAAAAAAAAAAAAAAACCCTCTCAGTTCTTTTGAGAAGAGAGATTCTAAGTATTAATTTTTGCATCTTTATAGCCTAGCATAGAATCTGGTTTGCCCAGGGAAATGTTTAAGAAACATTTGGTGACTTGAACTAAGAACTGAACTATTCTATCTTAGCACCCAATGGAGAGAGAATATATACTCTAGATAATCTTTGGACACAGCTATGTTCAAGAGCTAGCACAAGGAAAGCAAAGACGTCTTCTGTGAGAACAGCAGCTCCTTACCTGTTGCTGTACCGGTACTTGCTGTACTACCTGTGTAGGCACTGCTGCTTGACTAGCCACAGATGTTTGTAAAGTCACTGTCGAACCTGTGTCCGACCCAGTCTCTGATGTCTGCATGATGGTCTCTGAAATATATTAAAATAGAAATAAAGTTTCAAATGTTCTCTTTGCATGGCTATCTTCATTACATTTGTTCTTAACACCCTAAACTGAGGCTAATTTTCAACTCTGAATACGTCATACCCCAACATACCAAAAAAACCCAAACCCACTGCCGTCAAATCAATCGTGAGCCACGGCAACCCTACAGGACAGAGTATAACTTCCCCACAGGGTTTCCAAGGCTGTAAATCATGATAGAACCAGACTGTCACATCTTTCTCCTGCAGAGAGGCTGGCGAGTTCAAACTACTGACCTTCTGGTGAGTAGTCAAGCACTTTAACCACTGCACCACCAGGGCCCCTTTACCTCAACATATTGCCGTCATATTCCATGCATATTAACAGTCATTTTGACAACTATTCACATAAATATCGATAATTACTCATTCACATTTAAAAATAATCTCCATTAAAACCTCTTATCCTAAGGCTATAAGGGTTGAATTTAATTGAAATCTACCTTCCTTAAGCCTCATCTTAATTGCTTCAATCCCATTATAAATTATGGTAGAAAATTATGTCAAGATAGTCTTAATTCTCAGAACACAAAGCCTAACTGGATGCAGACAAGTGATGAACTATACTTTTTAGACACTTTTATAGGTTATTAGGATGTCACCAGAGGTGTACAATTTAGGATGAATTATTTCCAAGGTCTTTTTCAACTTTAAAATGTCTTACTAGGTGAGCTAAAAACAAAAACAAAATGCATATCCAAAAACGAATGTCTATACCCTACAACTGAGCCAAAGGATAACGCCCACTAATGTTCTCTGACTGGATCATGCTAGTGTGCTAAAATCAAAGTAGGACTATACTTTTAGACACACAAAGACATCCCAACACCAATCATGGTGACTATTTTGAAAGATGGGGAAACCACTGTCACAGAAAGGAGTTTTATAAACAAAGATGTGAAATTTATATTCTCTTATTCACAAGTCACCATGCCACATTTGTGCAGCTCTCTTGTGCCTGACCTACAAACACAAGATCACATTGCAGCATTAACTCTAACTAGTGAGCTTCCTGGGGCCTCCTGGTCTTGACATCTCCTTCTGTTGCTGAAACAATCAATAGAGCAAATATGAATGTCTTAGTTATTGAGAAATGACCAGAATTCTAATTTTTCTTTCCTGGGGGAAGAGAAATATTTAATTGGTAATCAAAGAATAATACTGCATCACAGTTTAAATCCATCAGCAGGGTGGTAAACATTAATTTTCTGGAAGGAAATCTGAAACAGTGCTTAGTTCATTCAAGAAAAAATTAGCCCCTCAGTATTTTTTGTCATAGCACACTCATTTCTCCCCCATACCTTTTCTACTATCTCATGCAATTTCAGAAATGGACCTCTGAAGACATTAAAGTTAACTCTTCCTTTACAAACAAGGATAGAAAAGCCCAGAGAGTTTGAGTCATTCGAGGTGAAGGTGGTGGGGTGGGGAGGGGCTAAGAGACAGGCCTTTTTACTTGGATTCTGTGCTTACTCTTCTATCTGACCTTGACACAAGCATCCCTTCCAGTGATTGAGTATTTTCTTTCTTTTTAAAGTCAAAACCCTAAAAGTAGCAAAATAGGCCTTACACCAAAAACACCAACCTCCTGTCAATGAGTTACTCAAAGCTACCCTACAGGACAGAGTTTCCAGGGGGTAAATCTTCAGGGAAGCAGACTGCTTCATCTTTCTCCCCTGAGCACATGGGGGGTTCAAATTGCTGACCTTCTGGGTTAGTAGCCAAATGCCTTAACTACTGCCCATTGTGCTACCAGAACTCCCTAAATAAACCCCAGCATATATAAAAAGTAATGGCACTAACAACTGGCTAGCACTGCTTGTTTAACATATGCTAAGGTCTCTTCCAGGAGCTCTGGTAGCTTAGTGCCTAAGGCACCTGACTGCTAACCAGAAGGCTGGCGGTTCAAACCCACCAACCACTCCTCGGAAGGAAGATTGGGCGATCTACTTCCGTAGTGATACTGCCTCGGCAACCCAAGGAGGAGTCGCTATGAGTCGGGTCCAACTCGACGGCACAGAACAACAAGGTCTCTTCTAAATGCTTTACATGTTAATCCATACATAAATCCAGGTAATAATCAATGGCCATTTTTCCAGATGAAGAACCTCAGATAACACAGACTGAAAGTGGCTAGGAGGTTTGCAAAATAAAGTGCTGGAGTCTGTGGCTAACACTCTGTTCACACGAATCAGCTCATGCTCAGCTGCAAACAACTGTGAATATGTGGGAAGGCCGATCTACAGCCATTGGTACTCAGGATTAAACAAAAGCAGTGAGAAATGCAGCTTTTTATGTGAAATCTCCGAAATGTCAAATATTGGCTCATTTAAAAACAAAAAAAATGCCATTGACCTCCAAACCACACTAACACATGCTTGCTTGCATACATGCACACTCACACACATATCTGTGCTTCAGATGGCATGTAGGCCTCCAACTGTAGCCTTTGGACTAGCATTAAGACCAAACACATGCCTAGAAATGTTAGAGAATGACAGTATTCACTACATAAAACATGCCTAATTAGGACTACTAGAGGACCAAGAGCTGTTAAAACTTGAGGCAGGAGACACACAAATTAGGAATCCTCTCTGTTCCTCTTCCTTCTTCACAGGGGGAAAAATACCGCCCCCCCCCAAAAAAAAAAAAAAGGGCAGGCAAGAGCTTTCAACTCATTGCATACTTAAAGACTATCAATGTCATTTTATGCATGAGCAGAAGAACTGTTAGTGAAGCAATCAATACCTTTCTGCAGGGAATAAGGAAAGAACAAGATGTTGGAGATGGCCTTCAGTGACGTTTTCTCAGCCTCTCCTCCAATCCAAGATGGCTGCTGGTCTCTGTCAGCTTAGTGCAGAGATGAGGAAAAGAGAGCTGCCACTATGGTTTCTTGTTTAAGCTGCTCAATTGAGGGTGAGTGCCTATCTCGAATGAAGTCACTCATCCTTGAAGTCACTCAGCCTAAGACTTGCAGTTGCCACCAAGTTCATTCTGACTCATGATGACCCCACGTGTGCAGAGCAGAACTGTGCTCCATAGGGTTTTCAAGACTGATCTTTTGGAAGCACATCACCAGGCCTATCTTCCTAGACATCTCTGGGTGGTTTCAAATTGCTAATCTTTTGGGTAATAGTTGAGCACTTAACCATTTGCACCATCTAGGGAATCCCATCCTAAACGAGCTCCTCTGATTAACCATGCGCTGGTTTGGAACCTTACCAAAGTGGTGCCCATACACTCTATTGTGCACCAGTCCACATTCTTTTTCAGTATATGATCCATATTTAGACATTCACTATTTTAGATCAAACACATACAAGAATGTAAATGTTTCTTTAAAAATTAAATGTACTTTAATGCAATCCTCAACAACTCCCAATAAGTCACCTGTCAGAATGTAGCAGAAGATATAAGCCACAGATTTGGAAAGTGGTCTCTTTTGTAATGTTACTACATTCCACAGATAGGTTTTGTTTGGCTCACAGTGATTACAAATTACAATTTTTAATCACCAACATTCAGAAATCAGAAAACTTTGTATTAAAAAGTATTTCCATATTCTCTTCAAAATTCTGAACACTTGGAAAGTCTGGGTCCACATTTCGTAGGTTTTTATAGGCAAAATATTTAACTAAATGGCTTTTACTCATTCACTTGCCTGGCCTCCACAGGCACTGTAGTGTGTGGCTCCCTTTGGAAAAACCTTGTCCTTTGGAGAAATCTAGTCCAACAAATCTGGACGGAAAGTGGAAAATTCCTTTTTGGGTTTTAAGACAATAATGATGACAATGACACTAAGTCACCGATTTTATACAGAAGAGTAACATCCAAGTTTTTATCATCCTAACAGAAATGTGTAACTAAGTGACTGGAACTATGATTTTCCTCATTTTACAGATTAGTCAACTGAGGTCCAGAAAAGTTAAGTCATATAGCCTAAGGTCATATAACTAGGAGATAGGAAAGAAGGGTTTTGGACATAGCAGTAATGTATAACATGAATACTAGACCATGTTGGAAGTCCTGAATTTCATCACAGACTTTGCACAGAAAAAAATAAACAGTGAAAATGGTAAACTAGAAGGAAAAAAGATCTCAACTATTTAACAAGCACAATCTTTAGAGAATCAAGTAAAGTGGAATAAGCTAGGTAGAAAACAATGGCTTGTGTGACTTAAAGCTAGAGAACTTTCCATCCAGCTTCTAGTTCCATCTACATACTATGTTGAAACTGGCACATAAAACCTGATAGTCATGGATGGAATTATGTCCCAAAAAAATGGTTTGGCAGTTACATAATGATGTGATAAATGATCCCCTATATCAGTTGTAAGGGGATTAGAGTGGGATGCAACACCCTTACTCAGGTTACAGTCCTGAGTTTTCCTGAGGTACAACTTGTATCACTTTTTATCTTACAAGAGATAAAAGGAGAGAGAAGCAAGCAGGGAAGGAGGGACCTCACTATCACGAAGAAAGATGAGCTGGGAGCAGAGCAAGTCCTTTGGAGCTGGGGTCTCTGCACTGAGAACCTCCTAGACCCAGGCGAAGATTGAAACCAAGACACATGGAAAACTCCAAGTAATGGTGAACCCACAGATGTTGAAAAGAGACAAAGACCTTCCCCTAGAGGTGGCACCTAAATTTATACTTCTAGCCTCCTAAACTGGGAGAGAATAAATTTCTGTTTTATAAAGCCATCCACTTGTGCTGTTTCTGTTATAGCAGCACTAGAGAACTAAGACACTGATCCAGGACAACCAGTAATTTTCCTGGAACATCTTTTATAGAGTCCTGCCAATTGGTAAGAGCTTGGTCCCTCAGTTTTGTCTCCATTTTATACTTAATGGACACACTCTCATTCTCCTCTGGATTCATTCTCTGCTTTGGCTTTCAGGAAGCATTTCTTGGCCAGCCTACATGTCATGCAACGAACC